AGATTTTTTACCCACAAGCATATAAAATATATAAAATCATTTAGAAAAATTATTTCGAGTTTGATAGTCTATTTTATTGCGTAAATCTATAAAAACATATGAAATCAAGAGTGAAAAAAATATTTATAATTTTTTTAATCAAAATTTTTTATTTAACTATTTTTTATTTATGTTTTTTTTTTATAATTATTCCTTTAGAAAAAGGATTTATCCTTGTTAATCCGTGGATTATTAACTAAAAAGAAAATTAAATTAAATTTTCTTAAAAAGCTTTAATATCTCATAAGATTATGTTGAAAAACAAAAATAACAATTATTAAAAGCTTATATAGAATTGAAAAAATAATTTTATTATTTTTATTTAATGTCGACGAGAATATCGATTTTTGAAAAAAAATGTCAATTTATTTTTTATATATTTATTTACAAAAGAATGAATAATATTAAAATAAATCAAAACTGTCTCGTAAATATAAATTTAAATTAATTGGATGAGAATTTAAAAAATAAAAAATTAAGTACTAAATTTTAAACAATAAAAATAATTAACAAAAAATACTAAAAAAAAATGAGACCAAATCATATTACAATTAAAATTTGAAATTAAAAAAAATATATAGAAAAATTGAGAAGCATATAATTTTAAATTAATTGGATGAGAATTTTAAAAAAATGACAAATTAAAGTAGTAAATTTTAAATAATAAAAAAAATTAACAAAAAAACACCAAAGCAAAATGAGGTCAAATCATAATACAATTAAAGTTTGAAATTGAAAAAAGATATAAAAAAATTGAGGATCAAAGTGTTATAAAAATGAAAAGAATAGTGAAAGGAATAGTAATTTATGAGTGTGTGAACATATATATATATATATATATATATATATATATATATACACATGACCATACTTAGTGGGTTTAGAATGTGCATTATAAATAAAAAATATTAAAAAATAAATAAATGACAAGGAATATGTTAAAATTAATAGAATTAAATAAAAAACAACAAAATTAATTTCAATAAATTTTAATTATATAAAGAATAAGCAAATAAACATATGATTTTTTTGATTAATTTTTCTATTAAACGAGGTAGGGTGTCTCATACTAAGCATATGATTTTTAAATAATCCAAATTGGATAGAAATCTAATCCTATTCAATAGAAGAATTTAATTTTACTTCAAATTTTATTTAAAAATTATTTGTACTAAATAATTTGTTTAAAAATATTCTTACTTTAATCGATGAATAGGTGTAAACCTTTGTTATGTTTTACTTCAAATATATTAATACCAACTCTAAAGCACTTTTATTATTATTTAAAAAAGAAGCAAGGATACCATTATTTCATTTACTATTAAAAACAAAGGTAGTTTAGTTAAGGAATTAAAAAATAACATGCGTCAATTATTTGCAAGCGAAAGAAAGTTCCTGCAGCACCACCATGCTGGAGCATTAAATGCCATGGGATAAAAAGAGAAAGTTACGGAAAAAAAAAAAAAACAAAGGAATGAAAGGAAAGAAACAAAGGGCCAAAGAGGTAAAATAACACAACAATAAATGGCATAAAAGAAAATAAGGTAAAAACATAAGGGCGGAAAAAAAGACAACTTTAGTGGGGTAGCAAATTGCTGCATGCCGGTTGGTTGTTGGGTTCAGAAAAAAGAAAAAGAAAAAGAAAAACATTGTTCATTGAACAGTAAAAGGAATAAAAATGGCTTATGTTTTAGAATATCAGTAATAAAGAAAAGAAAATGAAGAAGCCATTTTTCTTTCCGAGTAATGTATATAAAAAAACTTCTTATTTCCTGCAAATAACAAGAACAAAACATATATATATATATATATATATATATTAAAAATAATCGTTTCTGATCAGTATAAAAAATAATTATTTTTAATCGTTATGAAAAATAACCGATTTTGATTATTATAAAAAACAGCTATTTTTGATCGTTATGCAAAATAAATGATTAAAATACAGGTTTTTTTTTTAATAATATAGTTTAAACTTTTTAATATTTTATAAAAATACTCTTTACATTTTTCTGCTTGCACAACTTGCGTTGAAGGAACATTTGCAAAGCAATCACATTCCTTTTGATGTTAGGAACAGACCACATTCCGAAAAATGGAAGGCGGTTCATTTAATTAAATTTTCTTGATTCAGGGCTCCACAGTTCTGATACGAACTTGAACCAGTAGGCAGATTGAGCAGGGCTTCGTGGTTGTAAGCTCTGGAAAATGCTCTGGCAATGGCCTTTCCTTCCTCAGATGACAAATTTGTTATTACAAGAAAATTGTGTTATTCGTCGAATTTGCCGTCTTCATGACGAAACGATAGAAACTTTCCCGTCAACAAATGTTGATTAAAATATGCTGAAAGTGGGGTGGGTTCGATTAAAAAAAAATAAAAAATAAAATCTGTACGTTGTTAAGATTTTTCTTTAAAATAATCATTTCTTTCCTTTCCATCGTGCATTAGGAAATGTCAACATCAAGTTAAACTGTTATAAATTAGCTGGTTTAGTTTTGCAAAAACAAATCAGGTAGTATCTTTTATTTTAAAAATTAATCAATTAGTTTTTCACAAGTATTAATTATGATTAATTTAATAATATTTTTTTTAAAATGTTTTTTTTCCTCATCACTTCTTCTAAAAAAAATAAATTGAAAAAAACTAAAAGAATTAAGTTACAATTTAATTTAAAAGCATATGAATTAGTTAATTATTCTTTGAAATTAGAAAAACTTTTTTTTTGAAAAACTAATCAGACTAGTTTTTAGTTTATCCTTGTTAAGCTAGAATCACAATTTTTTTTATTATATTTTTCAACGTGAATCAAAACTAAGTTTCATTTTCTCAAGATTTTAAAAATATATTTCCAGTATGAATTTAGTATATTGAGGGAAATAAATTTTTTCTGAACTTATTATCAAATATATCTTTGGAAATTATGTTGCATCTCTTTAATCACTTAACACATTTGAAGAAAAATTAATTATCAAGATAAGGAAGCTTTACATTGAATTGCATTGAACTTCTTCATGATTTGGATTTGGGTAATTAAAATCTTACTTCTTTACCTAATGATTATTTTATCTTTTTTAACAACTAAGAGTAAATGACCCTCCTGATTTTTTCATTAAGTTTCCGATGTCGCTAAAAAAGGAAGAAAAAAAAACTGAGCCAAAATTTTTCAAGAACGACCATCTTATTTTTAAGTTTAAAAAGTTTTGTTTTTTTTTGTTTTTTTTTTTTTTTTTTCTAGGATTCAGTTTTCCTTCCCCAGTTGATTTATATATATATATATATATATATATATATATATATATATATTGACTCGTATAAATGAAGTCAAAAGGGTCGTTGTAAAGCGGGACTATCGATTTATATGCACTTGCATAGTATTAATTAGATTTTTACCTGTGTTTGCATTACAAATTAGATAAAATATGTAAAATTATTTAAAAAAATTATTTTAATTTAATAATCTGTTTTATAGTAAAAAATAATTATAATTTTTTAATCAAAAAATTTATTTTTAACTATTTTTTATTTATGTTTTTAAATTTTAAAAATAAATAATAAAAGAAATAAATTATTGGTTTTTTTAAAAATTTTAACACCCAATTAATTTCAGTTTAATAATCTGTTTTATGGTAAAAAATAATTATAATTTTTTAATCAAAAAATTTGTATTTAACTATTTTTATTTATGTTTTTAAATTTTAAAAATAAATAATAAAGAAAATAAATTATTGGTTTCTTTAAAATTTTAACATCCAATTAATTGTTGGTTCATTTAAAATTTTAACGCCTAACATTATTAAGAAACAAAAATTAAAAAAAAAAGTTTAATTTTTAGAAAAAAAAATGAGGGACAGCGTTTACTGTTCATGTAAACAGTAAATGGATGGAAATTAAAAAAAAAAAAGCTTAGTGTTTAGAAGGGAAAAAAAGAGAGGAGGAAGTCGTTTACTGTTCATATAAACAGTAAACATAAAAAGAAAAGGGGGAAAAAAGGCCAGCATTGACAAAAAAAAAAAAATAAAATAAAATGAAGCACTGTAGCAATGAACAGTGAATAACACTGTTCGTTGCTACAGTAAAAAAATCATTTTGCTTTAGTTTATAGGTAATTTTAAATTTTAGAAATAAATAATAAAGAAAACAAATTATTGATTTTTTTAAAATTTTAATACCTAATTAATTATTGATTTTTTTAAAATTTTAACACCTAATTAATTATTGGTTTCTTTAAAACTTTAACACCTAACATTATTAAGAAACAAAAATTAAAAAAAATTAATTTTTAGAAAAAAAAATGAAAGGCAGCATTTACTATTTATGTAAACAGTAAACGGATGAAAATTAAAAAAAATACTTAATGTTTAGAAAGGAAAAAAAGGAGAGGAGGAAGTCGTTTATTGTTAATACGAACGGTAAACGAAAAAAAAAAAAAGGAAAGAAGGCCAACGTTGGCCAAAAAAAAATTAAATAAAAAAACAAAGCACTATAGCAATGAATAGTGATATAATAACTGTTTATTGTTATAATAAAAAATCATTTTATTTTAGTTTATAAGTAAAAAGAAATAAAATTGTAATAATAAACAGTGATTAATACTGTTCATTTTACAGTAAAAAAACATTTTGTTACTGTTCATTTTACAGTAAAAAAAACATTTTACTTTAGTTTATAGGTAATAATAATTTAGAGGTAATTTATTTTAAGCGGAGAGTATTTAATCTCAGAATTGTGTGTCTATTATATTGGATTACGCTAAAACAAAACCACTCCTGATTGGATGTACTACGGAAGTGCTGACTTGGTTGACAAATTTGCTGACGTGTAACGTCACCAACCATTGCTATTGGTCTAATTACTTTTTGTCCGATTCACAGACATATTGTGGCTCCAAATTTTCCCAGTTGGGAGAGAGAGAGGAGAAAAGAAGGAGAAGAGAAAGAAATCTAAAAAGGTTGCGTTTTTAATGGCAACCTTTCTCTCCTCCTCTTCTCTTCCTCTCCCTTTGCTCAACTCCACTAATCACTATAGACTTCAGGCGCCACCGTCCTTCTCTCTCTCGTTTCCTTTTTCGCATCCTCTTCACGCCACTATTACTGCAAATTCTAGAAAAATCAAAACCCTAATTCTTGCTTCGTCGAATTCAGATTCTTCCTTCGATGAATTCGAGTTTAAGCTAGAGTCGCGTTCTGCTGATAAGGTTAGTTAGTATCTCTATTCCTCAATCTTCGTCTTCTTCTTTTTTTTGCCTCTTTGAATTGAGTTGGATTGGGTTTTGTTCCATCTTATTGGGTGCTAATTTTGTGGAATTATGGTTTTATGGATTTGATAATAGTTGATGGGATTTGTGTAGTCTAGGTTTGATTGAGCCTCTGAATTTGTTGAATTGTTGGGTTGAAGAGAAAATTAGGTTTAAGGCTCTACTGAATTTGATACCATTGGCTTTGTTTGAATTTATGAGTGCTTTAATGAATGAAATTATGCAACAAATGGATTGTGATATGGGTTGGGAGGTAAAGTTGGTGTATATGCTTGAAATTAGGTAGTATGTTAGCTGCCGGTATTGAATTTTGGCAAAATGTATGATTTGATGTGAACTGAATTCTGTGACATTTTTTTAAAGTTTTTACCGGGAAGAGAGAGCAAATAAGAACTAGTATACATAATTCGTTAGATGAAAACTGTTTTTTGTGGAATGAGAGTGTACATAGTGAATTTTGTAATGATAAACTAATTTTGCAACGTAAACTGAGTCTATAAGTTACTTCTCTCTCTTCCATGTGACGACCTTTGCATTTGTTTTGTGGTTTTGTTTGCAACCGTAATTCAAGATTGGTTAATTTCTAGCGAGTCGTGGTGTTTTGCATGTTGAATTCAAGATTGTTTGCAGTTTGTTTTGATTAATTGTTCAATTTAATTCTTGAAGAGTTCATATGATATTTGTAGTGATCGAAAGTATATGTTCTTTCAGAAATCAGTTCTCTCAGATTTGATACAAGAGATAGAGCCATTGGATGTGAGCCTTATCCAGAAAGATGTTCCACCTACTACTTTGGATGCTATGAAGAGGACCATCTCAGGCATGTTGGGCTTACTTCCATCGGACCGGTTTCAAGTTTTCATTGAGGCTTGGTGGGATCCTCTCTCAAAGTTATTGGTCTCTTCAATGATGACAGGGTACGATCAATTCCATTATATTAATCTATATTTCTATCCTCTGATTTCAGAATGGATTGATATCATTTCAGTGATTATTTGTCAATCTACTGCTTTTGTTATCTAGCTAATATGGAACAGGCTGATATTTGTCAAGGCGCATTTAAATATCTCATGATCAAAAGGAAAAAAGAAGTTATTTGTGCAACTGATACTTGTGTGTTTAGTTGTTTGAACTCTTGATGTAGCAAATGGCGTTTTGAGCTGCCTGCCTTTGTTTTATTCTTTTTTTACTACCAGTGTTATGTAACATATTAGATAGTCATGAATTGTATTTCTCCTTGCATTGCAGGTATACGCTGCGGAATGCTGAGTATAGGCTTTGCCTTGAAAGAAACCTTGATATACACGAAGAAGATCCTGAAAAACAAGCGCAAGAAAATTCAAGAAATGATCTTCAAGGGACAGCGCTGGAGAGTGAAAACACAAATCCAAGTTTTGGAAAAGATACTGAATTTGAAAAAATCATGGAATACGCTTCCGATATCATCAATATCCAAGGCCTTGGTGAAATATCCTCTGAAGCTCAGCAATATATTCTTCATTTGCAATCTCGTTTATCTTCTGTTAAAAAGGTATGCAATAGCATTCTTGTAACTCCCTTGGAACACATACATGTCAGTGTATTTTCTTCATCTTTGAGTTGATAACTAATGATTAAGAACTGCCTACATGAACCTGTTGGTAGCATGGTACCAGAATATGACTTGCTTGGATGCCTATATGTCTTTCTCTATGCATATCTTCCCAAGAGAAGAAGAGGTGTGCTTTAATTTAGAAGAGGAGGTGCTCCATTTCTAATGATACTAGTTTGCTGTAGTCTTGTATTCTTTGGTAATGATGTAACTTATATTCTTTGCCACCATGTCTACATAGGTGAGAGAAAGCGAGTAATTTTCTTTGGTGACAATTCTCCGTGATTATTTTGAGATTGTGATAAATGTGACTGAATGCTATTAGAAACAGTTGAGTGTTGCAACTATGGCTGTATTTATTTTCCCCTTGTAATCACTTATTTTTCTCATCTCAGCCTCCTGTTGGGAGTTCTCTCTTTAATTTGTCAATTTTTGTAGACATGGTCAGCATGCCCGTGCCAACCAAACACACCCCCCCCCCCTTTCTCCCCCTCTTGTTTTTCCTTAATTAAAATATCCATTCCAGAGAGATGGAGGCCTTGGTGCATGAAAACTGGCCTAAGGAACTGCATAGCTACAAAAAAAAAAAAAAGTTTTTCTTCGCTGCTTAATCCATATGTTGCAACAAGCTCTTTTTTTTTTTTTTTTTTGTTCATGATGTATTCTTAACTTTTCTTGTCTGTTAAAGGAACTACATGACATTAAGAGGAAAAGTGCAGCTCTCCAAATGCAACAATTTGTCGGCGAAGAAAAGAATGATTTACTGGACTACTTAAGGTCACTACAACCAGAGAAGGTAATAATTTTTCCTAAGCTCATTTTCCTACAGAATCTTTTCTTTAGAATGTTGTCTAATGTTTTCAAATCACTGAATGCTTTACATGAAATGCATGAAATGATGTGCCACTATCAGATGCAGTTGTTGCATCCTTCATCATATCAAACTGGTTGATTACTGGGTTTAATGCTAGTTGTATTTTAGTTCTAGTGAGGTCTTGCTCTTGTTTATAATGTTTGCAAAAGCTTGCTAATGGCTCAGCACATTAGAGTGATGATTCTATTTGATAATCTGTTGATATCTGCAAAATTTTTTGATGTTTTTGTTTCTTCATCAGGATAAGCTAAGAAAGCATTCTTTGACAACAAGTCCAAAGTTTTAAGATTTGAAGTGTTTTTCTTTTTCTATCTTCTTTTGCAACAGTACTGAGTGTAAAGTTATTTTTATTGTTAAGTATTCGGTTTTTGTTTGTCAATGTGGGTCCTGTTTCAGAGCTTTTGATGCGCAATGATTTTTTATTTTTTGGGTTCTTTTCCCCAGCATTTGGTAAGACATGATGACTAGGTTTTTCTGTAGATGCGGAGTTGCCCATAAATTTTAAAGCCATGAATATCTCTCTGACCCTGCTACCCACTTTTAATTCTACTTATGGTGATATATATATAATGACTATTTAGGGCTCCTGGTTTATCTTTTTGCCCGCTTAGTGCAATCTCAACTGTAGCTACGTGTTCCTACACAAGAATCTATGTTTTCAAAGTGTTTTTATGAATCTGCTATGAGAACAACAATACTATGATTTTGTTGTTCTTTCATAACCTGTGGACTACAAGTGTTCTGTGTCTAATTTGGAGATCCTGTTCCTACTTGTGCTTGGCCAAGTTCTCTGCTTCTATATAATATGAAACCAGCTCTAGCAATGATCTGCTTTGTTTATTTTAGATATGTTGCTAATATACCTGGTTGAAACATGAACAGGTTGCTGAGTTATCAGAACCTACATCCCCTGAATTAAAAGAAACAATACATTCTGTAGTCCATGGTCTCCTTGCAACCCTTTCTCCTAAAATGCATTCTAAGACACCTCCACAATCAGAGAACACGTCAACTGGATCACTAAATATTGGAGGTGATTGTACTGAACTTGTTGAGAACACTTCGCTTCATTTCCAGCCCCTCATTTCATTGACTAGGGACTATCTGGCACGTCTTCTTTTCTGGTTAGGCTTTCTCACTTAACTCTTTTCTCACTCTGCTTTCATTCTTCCATCTGGCAACAGATTTTAATAATACTACATCCTTTCTTTTTTTCCTTCAAGGTGTATGCTTTTGGGGCACTACCTTCGAGGCCTTGAGAACCGAATGGAGCTGATGGATCTTCTATCCTTGTCAAGCCATGATGAAGAAAATAATTCCTGTGGAGATGAGCAAATTGCTTGAAGGGGCTTTCTTTCAGATGCTTCGGATTGTAAATATTCAAAGTCTGTTTTTCAACATGATGAGGCTGGAAGTGAGATGCAAGTATAGGCCAATTGAGCTCTTGCGGATAGATAGTTTGCTTGTGTGTAATAGAATGCCTTCTTATCTTTCACAAATATTTTATCGAGTCCTTTTCTTTTACTGTCAGTTTATCACCACACACACACACATGCACGAAGGAGAAACCTATGCCTTTTTACTTATTTTTATGTTTTTAGCAAGAACTATTTTTTTATTCAAGTGTTGTTGCAGGTGTAATTATTTGAATATCCATGGAATGGTCATAAGTAGATCATTTACCAGTAAATATGGAGGGGAGGAACCAAAATTTCTTTCACTTGTTATTACAAGTTGTGGTTTTTTGAACCTCTGATTATTGAGCAGAATTTTTTTTTTGTTATCCTCTTTGTCATTTCCTTTCTATTTAAGATAATTCTCCACTGGTAGTATCTATCTTTCTTTTCTTTTTTCCTTTTTTTCAATTAATAGCGAAGGCATTCCTTTGGGTATATTTGCAAACTGTCATGGCTCATAAATGAAATTGTTTGCACCGTGCAGTGTTGAGAATCAAACATGAGATGTTTTGTTCTGTCCCCTAGGCCAATTTAACAAGGTCTTCTCTGGTCGCTGTACTATTTCATAATATGCGGTGCATAAGATGCGTGCTTTGTCTGGTTCACTGTTGCCATATGGAACTCGTGTAAGTAATCATTGAGGTAATTTACGAAAGAGCTTGTAGTTTAGAGTGGAGGTAATTGTTTTTTATAACAAGAAGTCACGAGTTTAAAGAAATCACAAGTTTAAATCTTAATGTAGGAATTTTGAGTGTTTGAGTTAAGAAAAGGTGACGGAGGTAATTTAGGACTCCAATAAATGAAAAGTGTTTGAGTTAAGAAAAGGTCACGGAGGTAATTTAGGACTCCAATAAATGAAAAGGGAGAATTGAACTACTTTTTTCGTTTTCAGAGAATCCAGCATACCCCTCCCCAATAAAAAATGGTTTAATGCAAAATTATTTGTAGACTATTGGGGCTATGGAAATTTAGGGTTTTTATTATCAATTTAAATTTTAAAATATTATTTTTTTGAATAAATGTTTTTTTTTTGTTATTTTTTATAGGAAAAACATTGATCATTAACTTTAATGTTTAAACGATATTGTTTAAACATTTCAAGGTAATTTTTTTTAACAACAAAAATTATCTTAAAATTATTAAAGTTATGACAATCTAAAGCTTTTATTATCAATTTAGACTATTTAAACTTTAAATTATTGTTTTTTCGGTAAATATTATTCTTTCTTTGTTATATTTGACAATTAAAGCGTTGACCGTTAACTTGAATGTTTAAACGACGTTGTTTGAATATTTTATTTTTATTTTTATTTTTTTACAAGATATAATTTTAATTTCAAAAATAAAAATATATAATAATGGTTAATGTAGAATGTTGTTCTAATATGAGACAACATGTCATCTTGAGGCACTACTAAATCAACCAAACTAATTGAACTTAATGAAGAGAGACAAGAGGTTGTAATTGATTGAATCAAGACTTTGCAGCCAAGAACAATAAAAAAAAGATACATGAATTGAGCCTAAAACATTGTTATAAAAAACATAAGTTGTAGAAGTAATTTCAACAATAGTTTAATACTGCAGTCTCTCTGGCTCTTTAATTCAATTAATTCAGCTAGTTTAATAGTACCTCAAGACAACACGTCATCACATATTAGGACTGACATGTTGTTCATATTAACCATTATATTATATTTTTTAAGAAAATTAATTTTTTTCACAAAATAAAAATAAAAAATAGAATGCTTAAACAATATCGTTTAAGCATTCAAGTTGATGATTAATGCTCTGACCATAAAAAGTAATGAAGGAAAAATAATATTAGCTCAGAAAATTAATAGTTTAGTATTCAAATAACTCAAATTGATAATAAAAACCTTAAATTGTTATAATTTTAATAGTTTGAAAGGATAATTTTTACCATTAAAAAAAAATACCATTCCGTGTCTTTTATACATTCGGAACCCGCAGCATGAAACCCTTCTTGCACAAGCTTGAAGATGATTTCATCGAAAAACTGATCAGGCTACATTTGCACCATCTTCAAGGATAGCTGGTCATGTTTTGGATGAGCAGAAACATGCAGCGCGACTAATGATATATCCCTACAAATACAATTTTTTTATTTATTTATCGTACCCGAATTCAACGTTGCTACCATCGATCTATAAGATCTTTTTTCTTTTTCTCCTTTTATTTAATTTCATGAATTGATTTGAGTTTTCATTCCAATCTTTTGTTGTAGTATTTAATTATTATGCTGTTAATTATAGCTAGGTTGGAGCTATCATAAAAGTGTATACCATTGTTGTGTTTATCTTAATAATCTTTTGTTATAGTATTTTAATTGGGTTCTAATACATATTATTTTTTTCTTGTTTTTGGGCTGGACGAAAAAACAAGAAATATTAAGCTTTTATTTTACCGTATGTTTTTAGTTAATTAATATTTACAAGGTAATTGACGCGCGCAAATTGATCCCAAGATACTTTTAATTACAATAAAAAATTATTTTATTAAATTTTCTTAGGGAGTAATTAATTCTTTTTAGAAACAAACGTTGTCATATGAAGTACTTGATTAGATTTATATATATGTTTTACAAGCCAATCAACTAAGAGATAAATAATAGGGTCTTCTTTCTTATTTTTCTCCTAATCCAGATTCTTTTAGTTTTTTTTTCTTTTTTTTTAAAAAATCAAAACCTTATATATATAATGAGCTAAATAATTGGTGGTATTTAAAACCATCAAACCCTAAAGTGACATAGGTTTACATGGTAATAAAGAAGCACTCCCTTCTTTCTCTTCTTTTCTTGAGATTTCTTTGTTAGAAAATCTTGTGAGTATGGAAAGAAGAAGATATCAACGGAAAAACCTCGTCCCTTCCTCTATTGACTTTACTTCATTAAGCGAAAACCCTATGTCTGAAAACAGTAGTACCTCAGTACAGTACCAAAACCCTAGTATTTCATTCAACCAAAACCCTACCTTGCGACAAAACTATGGAACTCTTTTCACCAACTACACTAATCCTACCAGATCACAACAAAACCTTGAAATTTCTCCTCCTTTATCCGGGTTTGATCTTCGTTTTTACAATATTAATATTGATTCTTCCTTTTTTAATCTCTTCGAAGATCAAAGTCTGGAAAGATATTTTGCTACAATGAATCTTTCTTCAACTGGAAATGAGTTTTCTCGTTCTTCTAATAGTGCACAACAACGGGCTTTGATTAGGATGAGAAGTGATGAGCAGTACTCACTTGCTGCTGGTTACCCATCATACCAGGATAGTTCCCAAAGTGGGACCAGATATATGGCACATCCTTCCTTTTCCAACGGTAATGAAGGCCTCGGCTATGGTCAGAATATTGATCAAGATCAAGACTACCAAGATAGGTTTGCACTGGATTCTTTCCCCTACATCTCCCAAAATGGGACCAGATATATGGCGCATCCTTCTTTTTCCAACAGTAGAAACAATAATGGCGGGCGGGGATATGATCAGAATATCCGAGACCAAAACTACCAAGATAGGTTTGCACTAGATTCTTTTCCCGGCAATAATAGAACTAACAATGGCAGCACTTCTCACCGTCGCCTTATGCGCCGTATGCGTAGTCAGTCGTATGATGCGCTTGATCATGGATTTTCTGTTAGGCATAATGGTATTATAGTTGATGATACTGGTTCTCAATTTAGAAGGGTAAGATCCATTGATGAGTTAGAATCTTCAAATTCAAATACTCCATGGGTTTCTTCTTTGCCTAGTTCCTCAGCTGTTCAATCGAATTTACCATCATTGGATAAATTGAAAGGTATGGTGGCTTTGGCAGCAAAAAATAAAGGTCATTATCAGTTCCTGAAGAGGGTTCTTGATGAGAGAAGGCCAGATCAAATTGAGATGATTTTCTTGGAAGTGAAAGATCATCTGCATGACCTAATGGCAGATCAGTTTGGTAACTATGTTATTCAGAAGCTTTTTGAAGTATGCAGTGAAGTCCAAATGACTCAACTTATTCTCTCTTTCATCAATAACCAAAGGAGGCTGCTTGGGTTATGCTTTCATCCAGTGGCGTATGTATATAGTTCGTTCTTAGTTTATTTTCTTGATTGAATCCATTTTTATTGAAATTCTAAATGGAAAATGATTTTAATGCGTGATTGTTAATTTCAGTTAATTAATTTTTTTTCTTTTTTTAATAGAACCCGTGCGATGCAAAAGATGATGGAGCGTATGAAGACATCGGAGCAAAGATGTTTGTTTATACCAGTTTTGATGCAGAGGATTGTCATCTTATCCAAGAACGAAAATGGTTATCATGTAATTGTAAAATGCTTAGAAAGTATTCCATTTGATGATGCTAAGGTAATATATACACTATCCTTAATTTTTCTAAGTTAGAATAGTTATCAGTACACTGATTACAGAAGTATCCGAAGTTTTTGACAGCATTTAAGCACTTTATATATATAAGTTTCCATTACAGTTTGAAGTGTGGCTGAAATTTCTTACTATAGAACTTAATTATGAATCTTTTATAACAATGAATAAAGCTATATTCTATGGTTAATTGCAAATGCATGCCCTCATTCAGTGAAGGTAAGTGGTCGGTCCATCTGTCAAAAACATGTTTTTATAGTATTTGCAGCTGGTTTTCTTTTCATAATCATGATATAAATCTTTTATTTGCAGCACCTTATTAAAGAAATAGTAGAAAATTTTCTTGAAATTGCAATGGATAAAAACGGATGCTGTGTATTGAACCGAGCTCTGGATTGTGCTCAAGGGGAACTTAAAGAGCGTCTTTTGGTTAAAACAATAGATCATGCACTGTTCCTATCACAAAATCCTTTCGGGTTTGTCATTCATCTCTACCTATTTTTATGTTTAGTAACGAGTTTCCTTGATAAAAATTTATTCTCTTACTAAAATGGCTTCCAATTAATGTCAGTTATTTCAAGAATTCTCATACGATTTTCAACAGTAACTCCCATTTGATGATCGTCATTTTGCAAAAACTTTTGAATGAAAACCAGTGAAGATAAGATATAATTCTTCCTTCGGCGTTTTGAACATAATAAACCTTGGAATGTACAAAGTTTATGGACTTAAAAGAAGAGCTTGTTTCTTCAATACATTGCGTTACATATATGCATAATTAAACTTTCACATCCCTTTGGGATGCCAGGAATTTTGTTGTGCAACATGTACTTGAAGGACCCATACATCGCGCTGCAGTCGGGGTACTAGAGAAGCTTAAAGGACATTTTGTGGCTCTCTCCATGAACAAGTATGGAAGTAATGTTGTGGAGAAATGTCTGCTTTTTTGCGGGGAGGAGAATACTGCAATAATTATTGAGGAGTTTATGCACAGCTCAAACTTTCTGAACATGTGCAGAGATAACTTCGGGAACTATGTTGTTCAAATGGCACTCGGAGTATCAAAGGTTAGAACATTCAGATCATGCCTTTTAATTTATTGACTCCTTTCCTCTGTATAGTAAGTACTTTGCTAACTATCAATCACTGCAATCTAATTCTGCACAATAGATTCATGAAAAAAACTGGAGTCAATATATAGACATGATCATTATGCTCATGCTTTTCCTGCTTGGAATTGCTTGCCACATTCTTATGATACAATTGCAAGCTACTTTCCACTTTTTGTGCAGGGAGGCATTCAGGATGCTCTTGTCAGTCGCATGTACAGTTGTTATCCAGATCTGTACAATGATATTCATGGTAAACATGTGGCCATGAAACTTCGGGTAATGAGACGCCCCTACATTGCTAGACAATGACAGTTAAGTTTCTATGTTTTTCCATTTTGTGTATCTCTCTGTAAGACTAGAGAGAAAAGACTGTTATATTGCCTTTTGCTACGTCTTTGCAGAAGAAGTAATAACCTTTTGCTACGCGTTAATTAGGTGCCATATGCATATATATTGATGTAAGCTACTACCCAATACTGATGTAAGCTAATACCCATCGAAAGAGATGCGGTTTGTTGTTTGTTATTGATTAGATTCAATTTCTGAGTTTTCATCAGTGATTATTTCTTGGCATGCTTAGCTGTTAAACCTGAGGTATTAGGAACCAGAACAAATGCAAGTGTTTTTGCACTTGTGGTATTCACACGATCCTCTCCTTCATCAAGAAGAGAATGGACATGGAAAACGCTTAATCTCTTCTATCTCTATTCAAGGTCACTCTCTACCAAATATCAATGTTTAGTGAAATTTATTTTTCTTCTGGTATCAATGTTTTTATCAATGCTAAAAATTAACTGGCGCATACAATATAAGTGCACGTTAACAAAAATAACATGATTTATTAAGTGAAAGAGTTGAGCAAATCCTAGATTGAGAGCCACGTTAATAAAATACAATATATATATATATATATATATATATATATATATATATATATGTGGCCTACTATATTGATCAAAATGGCAATCTCGATGAGAGAGCACGGGTCAATCATGTAGCAGATAGGATGTATGGTTTGCAAAAGATAGACTTTACGGGTATATAGATGCGGCATACAGGAAGATAAACAAAGAAACACAGTTATAGACAACACAATTATAGATGCAAGGAACCTTTCAAGATACTTCAATATTTATTATTTCAACATGATGAGAAATTTCCAAGATACCTCAATTTTTATTACCGCTGACTGCTAAAAGACTGATTAATACAACTATTTAAATAGAAAGTTAAAAAAAAACCCTAATAATAATTAATAATAAACATGGAAATAAAATAATTGTAACATATTCTAACATCATTGCTAATCCTTAAATAAAAGCATCGTCTACCTAGAAAACATAATAATCTATTCCTAGTGTATTAAGATTGCAATAAAAATTAAATTACAAAATCAAAAAGGAAATTTAATTGGGGGCCCGCGTCATTATCTATCATATGAGAAAAACCTGCTTTCTAATTTACGGTCAAAAATTCAATTCTTCCCTTCCAAAGAAATAAATATTTTAAATAGATGGGTGCCCATATATTTTTTAAAAGCCTCAAATTTTGGATTCTGTATTGTATCTGGTTTATTTTTATTTATATATATATTTTTTAATTTTATATTGGGATCTCGATCACAAAATTTAACCCTTTAAATAAAAACGATTCTAAAATTATTTTATTGCTGATTAAATAAACATGCCTATTTATATTAATATTCTAATATTTGATGGGCGCGCAGCGTGATATATATATACACACCACAAAAAAGAGTTCCAGATGCTGATTAGTTGCATCACATCCGCCTCCATTGCAGTGATTTGATACACACACATGCATAAAATTGGCTGCTCTAATCTAATAAAGAATGATGATAAGAAGTAAGAACCAAAAATACTAACCATGGAAAACTTAGAAGTGGGGTAAATAGAGAAATACTGAGGACTGAAGATAGAGAGACGTGTTTAATACAATGGAGTTAAGAACGTCTTGACAAATTAACATTTAGCGTGAAGAGCTTTTTAGGAAGGCAAGTGACCCTCTTAATCACCAAAACAAGAAAGACAGTAAATATTATGAAAGTCATTAATTATGATTAAATAATCCTAATTTTACAGAAATGATTTCTGAAGAATGCTCAACTGGAATGACAATGGAATAAGATTGCCACCCCAATGCAGTGGCACTTGAATCAAGCACTTCTTCAATACATATTCCCATCTGCTCTCAATAATTGCATACTCTATTCATCTATAAGATTGCTTATATGGAGCATCTGTTCTTCTGAATTAAATGGATACAGCCTAGTTGTTTGATACCAAATTCAATCTTTTTAGAATATGCTGGAAAAAGTTCTCAATATTGCAGAGACTGGAAATGCCTTTGATAACAATTTTAGTTATGGTTCATAAATATATATATATATATATATATATAGTTATGAATACGTAAACCAACACATGACATAAAAATTACATGAATAATTACTTGAAAGAGTTGAGCAAATCCAGAAATAAGTCAGATGTTAACAAAGTGCAACATATGCGACCTATATTGACCTACACATATAGGTGAAAATTACAACTTTAGATAATAAAGCACAGGACAATCATGCAGCAAAATAGAATATGACTAGGTTGCAAAAGATCTAGCTCCATAGGATTTGCGGGCATATCAGATTCTTTTCACAAAATGAGCTCCGGATGTCTGATTATTGAGATATATAGTTTCAGTCCACTCCAAGTTGCATCACCTCCGCCACCAGAACTTGTCCCGTTTTTCTCTCTCATCAAATGCATCCTCAGACTCAGTCTCCAAGTTTCTAATTTCTTCAACCAAAGAAAAAGATTAGACTCCCCTTGCAGTTTCAACTCTGCACACCTTCATAATAGTAAAAACTTGTATGCAACTGCAGCAAGTAAAAGAAAACTATGGAAAGAGCACCAGAAAAGACCGTCTTTTCTCTTTCACAATAGCAATTGACTCATAATAGAAAACTAATAATTCAGAAATATCATCTGTTGTTTTGCCTTTTGATTTAAGAGCCATTGTTTCATACAGGACAATTGCGACTATTAAAATTTATTGCCTCTTCAAATTGGCTGACACCATAGGACCCACAAATTAACACCTCAAAGAATACAGTAAACATGAATCCCTACTTGTTTGGGGGAAAAAAACAGGAAAAAGATATGCCTAGTTGTCAACACAATCACAGTCAATGGAGAACACTTATGTCCAAGAATCATTGACACCATAATCTTTCATTACCCATATGTTAATAGTTTCAACATCAGTAGAATCGCACATGCAGAGGCATCCTCCTAATACTCCCAAGCTCACGTTATGCCTGTTATCTGTGCTAATCTAGAGGTGTTGACGAGGTGGTGGTGGAGATTTATTGAAAGTGCTCTTTGTCCATATCAAAAGAAACTATAAATTCTGAACTCTTAAAGTCAAGGCAAAGCCATTGAAGAGCCCCCTTCAAATAAGTAGGGAAAGCTAGTTTAAATACGGAGAATGGAGCAGAACCAATGCTTCTCCATGATCCTGTACCAAGAGTACGTATCCCAGCCAACCTACCATCATACCACTCCTCTCCTCTGACAACATCAGACTTGTACTGACTAAATATTCTTACCACCTTATATTGGCTTGTCACAGGACTAAACCCGAATCCACAATCAATATGGTCTTTGCTTTCCCTGGAGAACTCAATCTCACTTCTGGAAGGTTAACAAACTCGCCTGTAACTGGACTGCAAATCACAACAGGATTATTGAAAGATGGTTCAGACAAACAAAGCAAGCCATTGCATGAATTCACTATATTATACTTGAGATCCTTTGGCTTCACTCTGATGCCATTATCCTTCTTGGGCCCCCGTTTAAGATTAGACATAACAGTAGCAACATTTTTCCCGGTATGCACCATTTCAAGTTGCGCAATGGCAGTTGCAGTTTGCTGTCAAGTTTCATGTTACCATTAGGGTGGTCACAGTTGGGTACCCAGCAACTGTCAGAACAAAGACGGAAACACCTCACATCAAAATCTTGTTCATGTTCAGGCTGAACCAGATAAAGGATTCTTGACGAGAGCGTCAGATTCAGGGTTCGAATCATTGGATAGACCTCTGCTTCTCCAAAATGAAGCTTTGCAAATTCTGGGTCCGAGAAGTGGAAATCTTCTTAATGGAGAGCCTAAGTAGAACATTGACAAGGATTCGTCTTGGGAAATCTGCTAACGACCGACCCGAATTTTGAACCTTGTCTTCTTCTTGGCTAAATTCCCCTCCATTTCCGCGGGTTTGGGTGTCAAAAGATGCTGGTGCTCGTTTTCTTTTCATGACCGCACCGTTTTTATTCGAAAATGAGTTAAGATAGGAAGCAAAACCATAATTAAAAGGACCGTAACAACCCAATCTCAAATCAGAAAAGATCAAAGCGTGTTTCGATCTAAAAAAAAAAATGTTCTAATTAAGATAAGTTAATAAAACCCTCAATTTCTTTCTTTAATGGTTCTCTTAGTAATATATGAGAATGGGTTAAGCAAGAAAAAGAGAATAAAACCCTAAACCACAAGCATCATAAAAGAGCCCTAAAAGATTCACCATGATTTACGTATAGAATGTCCTGAATCCATATAGTTCAATGGTCAAATCAAAATCAAAAGAAATACAACAATCAAAACCAAAAGCCAACCAAATTTGATACTCAACACAGACATATGCACAACAGTTGTTCAGGCCCAAAGAATTAAAATAAGAATGTAGAATAACCATAGAAATTTCTGTAAGAGATGCAAAGAGAGAATGCCTGATTAATGAAAATAGAAAGTCTCAAAAGAGAGAATACCTGAAGAGAGAGAGACAGACCGCAGACGCGTTTAATAGAGTGGAGTTGAGGACGTTTTAGATATTAGCGCCATTGCAGGTGGCGGGATGATTTTTTTCTTTCCCCCTTGTAATAAGGGCATCTTAAGGTTTACAATATATCAAGCAAGATTTATAATTTCTCAATTCAAGTTTTTGCGACCCAATCGACTTCGTTAAAACCTAAACCTGTCAGGCTGTCACAGACCCCTTTTTTCATCACAAGAGCAAGTTTACACACATATTTAGTCTTGTAGAGAAGGGGGAGCACATGAACAAGGCAAATTCATGCATATTCATGAGTCAGGTACGTAGAAACTTGCATAATCTTAATCCCTAAGATTACTCGTATTGAGTATTAGGTTTTTTCTGAATTAAATGGCTATAGCCTTGTAGCCTGGTAACAAGTTCATTCTTGTTTGATTATGCTGCATAAAGTCCTGCAGTGTATAAAAACTGAGAATGCTTTTGATAATAATTTTTTGATACCAATACATCACAAGGTAATGACATGATTTCATTACTTGAAAGAATTGAGCAAATTCCAGAAACAAGTCAAAATATTAACAAAGTGATATATATATATATATATATATATATATATATATATAGCCATTTATATAGATCAATTAGATGAGAAAGCACAGGTCAAGCATGCAGCACAGTAGAATATGTCTAGGACCCTAGATTGCAAAAGGTCCAGCTCCATAGAATTTGTGGCATATAGACTTTTTCCACTAAAAGTGCTCCCGATGGCTGAAATATCTTTAAGTACGCAGTTCTTGTGCACTTTTATACTGCATCACCACAACTTCTGCCACCAGTGCTAATCCCTTTTTTCACAATCTTCACCTGAACTCTCGGACTCAATCTCCGTGTTTCCATTTTTTAACACCAAAGAAAGAGCTCTGGACTCGCCATGCAGTTTCAACTCTGGGCACCTGCATAATAATTAAAGTCACAAATTACTTGGCAAAAGGAGAAAATGGGGATGGGGATATACAAATAGCAAGGCGAATCTTGTATGCAATTAAAGCAAGAAAACTACTGCTATCAAAAGAAAAGAGAAGGGCATCTCATATTTTTCCATCCGCAGCCATTGTATTATGAAAGGAAAAAATAAAAAAACAATAATAAAGGAACCTTATCTGTTCGTTTTCTGTTTCACAATCAATTTTTCCAGGAGACAACAACCACCATTGAGATTTCTTTGTCACTTGGAATTGGCAGACCCCGTCATTTACACAAATGATTCATGTAGCACCATTCTCAGATAATACACATAAGATGTTTCCATTCTGTCTATGAAGCGCTAAATGTAAGGATCACAAACATTCAAATGGAAGCTCTTTCAGAAACTCAGCCAATACAATAGTACAAGACTCACAGCAACATAATCCCATAAGCTAGATTATGTCAATGACAATGTGGATCTCAAAATATGGAATAATCGATTAAGGTATCAAACACAAGAATCAAATGACAAGGCCACCCTAATACAGCAGCTGAAACTCCAGGACTTGTACAACATAAAGCCTAAGGATGAAATATCCCATCTGATTTCTATAAACTGAACAGTACAGCGATTGCACCCAATGAGTTGTAGCTCAACTGGCAAACCGAGCTATGCTAGACAAGGAAGCAAGTCTCCTTGTAACCCAAAACAAGATTCTGATTCAATCTGAATCTGATGAGTCATGGCTCTCGCTTTGCCGCACACTCCTCCTGGTTTGTGCGCTGGATTTTGATGAATTTAGAGATGATTCACCCTCATAAAAGATTACTTGAGCTTTAGCCAATCTCTCCTCCAAATCCTCTGTGTTAAACTCATCTGTCCCTCCAAGCTCATCAAATCCCACCTGGACACAACAAAAACAGGGCAGTCTAATTTTCAGAACAGCAGGAGGAATGAATTTAGTCAACAAAACATGGCCATATACACATTGCATACCACATAATCATCCACTTTGGCATTCTTTATAAGTGCAAGAGTTGGAAGAACAAGAATCTTGAGTTTCTCAGCCAAAAATGGACTTTTCTCAGCATGAATCTTCACAAAGCGTGTCTCTATATGTTGCTTCGCCAGTATACTCATGTGCTTGTCCATCACCTGCAAATGAACAGTAAGCATAAAATCTTCTCCTAACTCTCTCATTTTCCCAATTAATCTAAAAGCAATACTAATATCATTTTCTCAAACACAACATGGTTCATCACATACTGATTAGCTAGAAAGTAGTAGCTCTTTAGCGTAATTATCTTTCCCAATTCCAAAGTTGGCAAGATCAAGCAATTAAGCAATGCTATTGTATTGCTATTTAAGCTTCCAAGTGGCTCAACCCGTAGAAAATAAAACAAATACTCAATTTAAACGAGAACGAACTGCATAAGTACACAGAAAGCACCATAGATAATAGTTTTGCCATCTGGCAACCTCTAACTGTAATCAAGGACAATCCTAGTTATAAAACTGCCTTTCAATCGACACGAAAAGGTCCGCTGCCCATGTCAAGAAACAAAGACTACAAATTCAATATAGCAGAACCCTAAAAATCCACTCCATAAAAAAAAAGTTGCAACAATTGATGAATAAAACCTTAAAAAACTCAAAATTCCAAGCTTTTAAATTCTACAGGCTCAACAAAATTCATTAAAAAAAAATGTAAAAAATAAATTAAAAAAAAAGTTTATTTAATCAAATAAATGAAATTGTAAGAAAAACCTTGCAAGGCCAATTATCGCGATAGAAATGGCAAACGACACGATCACTAGCTTTAACAACAGAGAAGAAATCCTTCTCTGATGGAATTTCAGTGTACTCGCCATGACCTAAAGAGATCCAACGGCTGCGCTTCTCCGCCATTTTCTTCATCTGCTGTAACCGTCTCTCTCTCAATGCCTCTATATCGTCAAGATCGAGACGATCTAATGCTGCGATCTCATCGTCAATCTTGTCTTCCACTGCCTTGGCTACAGTAAGTACTTGCTTCTCTATAATCTCTTGAACGTTAAGGTTTGCCATTGTTGGATTTCGAAAGATCTTTGTCTCCCTCTCCCTTGCAGGAATTTAAAAAGAAAATACGGGAAATTGAAATGCAGGGACAAAAGAGATCTACGCTTGGATGTAGTGAAGAAAAGGGTAAGATGTATAGGCGGTATCATTTTGATTTTGTATTAGACTTGGGTCGGATCCTTCTGGGTGAAGTCCATTTAAGAAGTTTAGAGCCCGCATAATAGCCCAATGTGTAGGATTTTGGGCTGACCTGAAAGTTAAATTATGACGGGTTGGTTTGGTTTTCTTTATAAATCAATGAACATTATTGGTGTTTTTATATTAACAACAAAACTTCTATCGATCTAGATTATATTACTAACATTGATTTGTTCAATTATAAAAATTCTACATGCTTCATATTTTGCATTGATTGAGTTGCAATTCATGACTTTTTTTTTTTTACTTGGACACTAGAAATATTTTTATATGAGTTTATGTATCCATCAAAACTTCAAATAATTTCAAAAGCATGTTTACTATATTGGTATGATATTTTTGGAGAAATTTTATAAGTAAAAATGTAAATACTGACCACATATAAAATAAAAATAATCATATGTTATTATAAATTAAAAAAAAACCTTAAATTTAAAATATCATTTTTCTTTTTTTCTTTTTAATTACTCTGACAAATGAACTTATGTTCTACCATTCATATGGATTTTTTTTTTTTTTTTTTTTGGCTAAACGTGTGATTAATAAACTTCCTAGCTTATGATAGGTTCACAAGCTAAAATTGCATAAAATAACTCTTGATCTTGTTGATGAGTTTCCCACATGGATTTGACTATCAACTTGGTCAACGATTAATGAAAAAAATACGACTACCATCCTTTGAAGGCGTTAGTTTTGGTAAGAAAAGACAAGGACTTAGGTTATTGATTTGATCCTGGGAATCAAACAAATAATACGACTCGAGATGGGCGTGTGTTTTTTTTTTTTTTTGGTTGGTTGGGACTCGGTTGGACCGGAAAAAGGAGCTATGGGTCGAGGTTTAACCTACCAGGTCAAATGATCTTTGACCAGTTCTAACTATTATAGGGTTTTAGCCTCAATCGAACCGGACGCTTATATGACTGGTTCACGATTACCTCGACTGAACCAACCAGATGGGTTTGATTTTGACGACCTTTAATTTAACTTAGCAAAGATTATTAAAGAGATAAATTTAATTGATTTAATTAATCATAATCAGCAATTTGAAATAAATTTTTATTTTTATAACTCAGAGTGTGCGGATCAGTTTACGCAGAGCCCGAATACCTCGCAAGCTTCAATAAACAGATAAAACATCATAAAGATGACAAGCACGTATAAAAAAAATCAAATTTGAATGTAGTCGGTGAGCGACCATCAATCTCACAACGAGGCTCAAGCGCAGCAATTTGAAATAATTAATCGAATATGTAGCAATTGCAAGATGAACGCTAAAAAAGAACACATACATACTAGCAACAAGATCATGACGTACGACACAAAGAAATATTATTTTATACAAATCCCAACATTAATTCATCGGTCTTCATCACAACATCCCAACCATAGTAATCAAACCCCACAATTAATGCCAAAAAAAAAAAAAACAGAGAAGGATTGATAGACTCTTATTATATATCTAGCTAACCTCACAAGCTAATTGCTCTCAAGTCTCGAGCACTAGTTCACTGCAAGCTCATCTATATGATATCTTTCTCAAGTCTGAACACATGCATATATCTTCAGAGTCTTAAAAGATTGATTTAAGGACACTTGGGCTTGCCCTTGGAGTTCTTCCTGTCCCTGTAACAAGGGCATTCGTGCTTGTTCCCATAAGTTCCAGAAGGCACACACTTGCACTGCTCACAACATATTCCACAGTACTTCAAGCACCTATCCAGTATGCCAGCGTTTGCGCACCTCGTATTGCATTTCTTGGTACAGAAAGCTACAACAAAAGAAATCACCAACATGAGGGCTCCAAAACTAAACTAACACAAAATGGCGTGGAGTCTACACATGCATTTGCTTTTAAAGGCCTAAAAAAATGCTACAATATCATTTCAACTTTAAATAAACGAATTAATTAAGCCCTTTGATCAGTTACCTGACTTAGCCATGACAGGTTCCAAGAAAGATGAGCTGAAGAGGAGTGAGCCCAGCAACAAAGTAGCAAAGAAGAGTTTCTTCATCTTTTGTTTTGTGCCTCAATCAAAGCATGCAGCAGCAGCTGAGAAGCATCTAGAGACTAGAGGGGAGTGAAGCGAAGAGAGAAAGAGTTTACGTGGGAATATATAGCAGCAAAGCCAACAAAGTTAGCGGTACGGGTGTGAGCAATAAATTGAACAGCTGGAGGCTGGAGCTTTGCTTGGCACTTTATGAAGAAGCGGTGGATTCCACCACATATACAGACCCTCGGTCCACGCGGTTTCAGGAGATGTGAGTAGCGAAGACGGGATGGTACTGGTGCTTTCTTTTTCCTTTGTCCCTTTGTGCCCACAAGCACTCAGTGCCACAACTAGGTGCTGTTTCATCAACCTAAGCATCGAGTACAGATACAATTAAGGTTTATAGCATCCTAGCTGGAAGGTGGTTGAGCCTTTACTCCCATGGGCCATGACTACAATATATAATTAAAAATCCAATGCATGTTTCAAACAGTAACGATTTTCAATCCCAAATGGGATTCACAATTTACATCAATCCATCAAATGAATTACACTATTTGCAAAACTAACTGGGAATGATGAATGGCATTATTAATACATGTGCCGCCACTTCATTTTCAAGTTGTAAGCCATTGCAAAAGTTTAATACTTCTGGGTGCACCTTTTTTTTAAAAAAAAAAAACTTTATATAAATTGATGTGTTAATTGTTAAAAAAAAAGTCGTACATGTTTGTATGAAAAGTTAAAGTATGAATCTTATAAATAATGATATTTTATTGGTTTTTTATAATTGTCGCATATGTTTGTATAAAAAATTTGTTTATATAGCATTTTTTTTTGCTCCTTGCTTTTGGATTTATCATGCCTATTAATTGATTGTCATCCTACAAGATTTGAGTTCCAGTCTCTTGAAGATGATTAAAAAAAAAATGGAATAAACAGAATCCAAACTCTCCTTGACGTGTCCGTTTCCGTCGTAGTGAATACTAGACTTTTTACTTGCACTATATTACGAATTAGATAAAATATATAAAATTATTTTAGTTTGATATTCTTTTTTATGATGTGTATATATAAAAATATATGAAATCAAAAATATTTTAATGTAATTTTAAATAAAATGAAAGAAAATTTTAAAAAATGACAAATTAAAACATTAATTTTAAATAATAAAAATAATCAATAAAAAACACTAAAACAAAATAAGATAAAATCACAATACAATTAAGGTTTGAAATTAAAATATATATATATATATATATATATATATATATATATATATATATATATATATATTGTATAAAAAAATTGAGGGCCATATAAATTTAAATTAATTGGATGAGAAAAGAATGAATAATATTAAAATAAACCAAAACTGTCATTAAATATAATTTGAAATTAATTGGATGAGAATTTGAAAAAAAATGACAAATTAAAGTTACATATTTTAAATATTAAAAAAATTAAAAAATATATTAAAACAAAATGGGTTTAAATCATCATACAGTTAAAGTTTAATTTTTTTTTTAAATATTGTATAGAAAATTTGAGGACCATATAATTTAAATTAATCGAATAAGAATTTAAAAGAAGAATTACAAATTAAAGTAACAAATTTGAAATAATAAAAATAATTATGAAAAAAAAATGAGACAAAATTACAATACAATTAAAGTTTGAATTTTAAAAAAATAATAAGATACTCACATTACACTCGCGATGTGTGTGTGTGTGTGTGTGTGTGTACGCACGCGCGTGCGTGTGTGTTTGTAAAAAAATAAAACTTATGAATTATTTTAACTGATTATTAATTTTAAAAAAATCAATCAAACTATTTAAAACATATTTTTATCTCTCTCTTTCTTTCTCTCTCTTTCTCGAATTTATAAATTATAATAATATATTTTAAAAAAATAAAAGATCGATGTTCTAAATTTTCATTCTAAAATTCATATATCAAAAAAACTAAATTTATTAACAAATAAAATCACATCAAAAATAAATATGATGAGAATTTTAATAAGAAATAAATAATTTAACAAATAAATTTTAAACAATAAAAGTAATATAATCAAATATATATGTTTAAACTAAAATTTAAAAAAAATATCATATATATTCTATCATCTAAAAATTATAACAATTTATTTTTTTATGTTTTTCACACCTCTATATATATATATATATATATATAAGAAAAAAAAGTATGTTATATAATATATAAAAATTATATATATTATATAATATACATTTAGGAATAAAAAAAAATGGGACAGGCTGGTTGTTCTTTTCAAATAAGTTGCACAGTATAGGAAAAAAAAAGTCAGCATTGGCGGTTGGCGCAAATATATGTATATATATACAAATTTTCGAGGGAGGAAAAAAAAAAAAAGCCTGCGCGTCAGGCCTGGGCTGAGCAACTTGAGCCTGCGTGTTAGGCCTGAGCTGCTGCTCCACTAAAAAAAAAATAAAATAAAATAAAATAACTTGCAATTTCCGACGAATTTAATGTGGTTGAAAGATTTAAATTTCGACATTATTTTTTTCTCTAAATATCTTTAAATGATCGAAATAAAGTCAATAAATACATCTCATATCTTAAAAATTATTTTAATGCACATAAAAAAAAAAATACAAAATCAAATTGGTTTTTTTTTTCTTTTTTTTTGCTCCGATCAACCTCTTCTAATTGTTTAATGGCTTCAAACTACCATTGACAAACTCATCTCTCAAAAATAAAAAAATCTAGTAGATTATTGCTGACCGAGTGGCCTAAATAAGCTTGGTCAATAAAAAAAAGAAAAAAAAAACCTACAACTTCCAACCAAGCTTATTTAAGCCACTCTAATCAGCAATCTCTCTCTCCTCCTTTTCTTTTTTTTCCCCTTAGCTTCTCTCTCCACTTAAGATCAAAATGGATGAACAAATGAACATGTGGATCGAAATATACGTTCGAAAATATCAAAAATCAAAATGTAAAAAAGCACCATGAAAGGCATAGTAAAATATGAGAGAATAAATAATAAAATGTGAATTTATTTACAGTATTTTAAATAGTGAATCCACGATGAAATAACCTTTTACTTTAGTTTTTTTGGTTAATATAGCATCTTCTTGACTTGGTGCCTTTGCTCAGTGCATGAAAAGCCAAAGCTTCAATTATTCTTCGTCACTAAGTTATCAATCAATGACTATCCTTGATTTTATCTAAATCGTAATATTGCCAAGTTGTTCGTTCCACACACCTTTTAATATTACCAAGTCGTTCATTCCACACACACACACTCTTTCTTTTCTTTTTTTTAATGGTTGAGATTGAAAATTTTAATTACAAATAAAGAATATTTTAGAAAACAATTAGATGTCAAGGAAAACCGATAGAAAGACTTACGATTTTAAGTTGTAAACAAATATAAAAACTCCTCTATTTTCTGTCATCAAAATACTCATGATTTTTATAGCTTTGTTGAACAACATAACCTTGATTATTTATGCTAGAATTGTTTACAGTGAGAGATATACATATTTACAACCTACACAAAGATATAGATTTTATAAGCCACAATTGAAATACATTTTCTACCATTGGGTGTTTAGCCCTGAGGTACTCTCCTTAAGGGAGAGGGGAGAGGTAGTGAGATATCAAATTCAAATCCCACTCTTATCATGGAAAGAATAAAAAAAAGTTACACGTTTTCTAGTGTAAAAAAAAAAAAAAAAAACATCAACCTCCCATGCTATTGGATGGGCAGGAATCCTGGCTTTTAGAGTATCCCTTGGCATTGTCACAGGACGCTAGCAAATTAACCTGCAAATTGTACCTTAAAATTTTAGAATCTTAAAGGAAAAAGTAAACAAGCAACAAACTTCAAAATACAAAGTATGAAGAGCAATCCATGAGTATATATACCTTCACAATTTCATACTTGGAGTTTGGACGCATATAGGCTGCCAATATACTCATGTTGAAATCCTATGCGTAGGGACATGAAAAAACACAAATAAGATTCATTTAATAATTCCATAATGCTTAAAGTAGTTTAACATATACCGAATAGAAGCTACTAAAATGGGATTCACTGGCACAGCTAAATGACTAGTTCCAAAACCGATTGGAGGTTGACAGAGGTGGGGTAGAGAGCAAGAAAAAATGGTTAACTAAAAAGAAAGTAGCTTCAGCAACAAGTTAAATAATGCTAATATAAAAGAGTACATGTAGACGTTTCATGAGGTAAGATTCACACATGACAACATTTTTTCTTATAATCAAAATACTTAAAAGAGTTAAGGAAAAAATTTCTCAAATCTATTCTCCATTAACCAAAAGCAGATCAAGAATTAGTAGTAAATGTAAACTCACCCTAAAAGGATCACCCCTCAAAGACTGCACATACATTGAAGTCCCTAACCCTTTACCCTGCAAAAGAACAACAAATGCTTATTTTACAACTTCCAAGAAAATGTGATCCCAGAACCCTTGCTATGCAAATATGCTCCTATATCAATGTCTCCATAACTTTTTTCTGTCGCTAATTGAAATATATGCTTCCACGTCCCAATCAAAAACTATGGGTAACATTCAAGAGTTCAATGTAAAGCATTAAATGAAAAGATGGATGTACCTCCAAGGATATGTCCCTAAGACGCCTTCCGGTTTGAGCACAGCAAACCCGGACCACATGTTCATCACAACTCCCGCTTATAATATAATCCCTTCCATTCATGTAATAGGAACGAGTGTAATTCTGTGAACTTCCTGTAGGTGCTATGTCAAAACTCAAGTGAAGCCTGCCATCTACAGCCAAAAGTTGTCGAACCTGATACATTTCTACATGTTATTCTCAAGAATCCACTAATTTCCAAAAGGAGAGACCAGAACTTTATTAAAAATCAGAAAACTAATAATAATAATATCAGTGCACAAGTTGTAATTGAAGGACATAAAATGAATATTTAGCAAGTCAACAGGTTCAAATTTCCAAAGAAGCATAAATTAAGCACTAAAAAGCTAACTGTTGAGAGTTGCTTAAAATAGAGGAAACGTAGCCATAAGTTTGAAAACCTGATGAATCACATCTGCCCCCCAATAAATAGACAATTCTACTCTCATATCAAACATAGTACAATAGCATTATAAGTCACCATGGGCAGTAAACACTAATTAGATGGCCAGGTAATCAGGGCTCTATCCACATGTTGATCACCACGATGAAATACTAAAGAATATGGGGTAGCATTGCAAGCAAGAGAAGCTTTAGCACATTGCATTGTGAAGCACAATTCTTATTTGTATGTACATCATGACTCAGTTTCACTAAGGGTGGATTCTGCACAAGGGTAAACAATTGATGGGGCCCTAGTTTATCATTCAAATTGATGGAAATGCCTCAAGACCCCTAAAGATGCAGTAAATTAATTCAAAGAATACCTCATTATCAACAGCAGATGCAAGAAGATAGTGATCATCTGGAGAAAAGCACACCATCACATTTCCTCTAGAGCTTGAAGTAGTATAGCAAGGTCGTATTGGTTTCTGTCTCAAGTCCCACAGTTTGAGATCCTGATCAAATGAAGAAGTTGCAAAAATTGATGGGGAATGGTTTGAGAACTTGACGACATTGATGTGCTCTCTGTGCATATCTGTGAACACCTGTATGCGCCTTCCACAGTTGATGTCATACAGAGCAACATTTTTTGAGTATCCACTTGCAAGAAATAGTTCGTCGGTGGAGTTAACATGAACAGATGTCAATTGGTCAAAGTCATCAAAGGTGCTTGAACCAGCACCTAAATACATGCCTGTAACTGTTGGGGGCATGTGCTCAATGTCATACAATTTTAGTGAACCATTGTCTGAACCTGCTATGAGCTGACATTTAAAGGGAGAGGAACCAAAACAGAATCAGAAGTGGTCACATGATTAGGGACTTGATAAGCACATAATCAAATGCTCTAACAAATCGATGATAGAGAATGCCAAATATTGCCAAAGGTAATTTCATTTTCATGGTAAACTGCTACCTCCCAGAAGCAGTTTGCTCTTGTAGAGGAACACATGCATTGTTTTAGAATTTTCCGTTCCTAAGTTGACATGCAGGAACATCATATTGTGCAAATCACCTCACCAAATTCAACTAAATGCTTAAGAAGTACAGATCAAATTAACTACGTTTTTATATGGATAATACTTTATATTAACTGTTAACCATTTCTGAAATCAGTTTGCTGTATACAGTTACCTAACTTAAAAACAAAGCATAATTTCTATTATATATAACACCATTAAGTAGTTAAAAAAAAAAAAACAAGGAATTACAAAAGATAAGCATTGTGGAACGACAAGACATTATACGTTCACCGCACTCAATGCAGTATAACATACCTTGGATGGATACTTTTTGAGCCAGGATAGTCCCAAGACACTGTTCATGGCACCAAGTGATGGAACATACCTAACTACTTTCCCATTCTCATGGTTAACCACAATAACTTCACCATCTAAAGTGCCAAACACCATTAGGCTAGAAATAGATGGATGGTACTCGAACTGTCTGGGACGAAAGCTCGAACTTCCATCACCCAAATCACAGCCTGATACAGAAAGTGAATGCAATAATGGCCATGCAGAAGATCCCACCTTGGCAGCACAAAGCGACCGGGTATAAAAGTTTTGAGAGTTTCCATAAGAATAACACGACTTTTGACTTTTTGACCGTTTATGAGAACGGGTTTCTTTTATTTCACGTTTATGCAAGATACTAACAACACTCTCTTTATGGTTCCGATTGTATGGTAAGTACTCAAAGTATTGCGAAAATGTAACAGCAGCCCTTTCTCTGTCAATCTTTCTGACGGGTAGGTTATCCAAAACTTTCAAATGGGGTAATGAAGCTATCATGTACTCTCTGTAATGTTTCTCAAAGCATATTGGTGAAGCATGACGAGGGATATACTTCAAAGGAACATCTGCAACGTTTCTGCCAAAGGAACCAGGCAGGGACTCTTCTTTTTGATTCCATGATGTACCAGAAGAAACCTACGAAACAAATTAGAAATTTTGATTATTGAGGATTTAAGAATAAAGGAGTTGGATGGACACAAGAAAATAGAAAAAATCAATCTATAATAGATATTTAATAATCCAACATCATAAAGGAAGGTGGGATTGTGCACTATAGCAAGTCACCATAAATAAGTACAACTGACTAGACCCCTGCCCCTTTAAAAAGAAGACAAGAACAACAAGATTTATAATCATAAATCCTTTACCGTCCAATGTGACCAGCAGAAATACCAAAAATTAAAAAGAATTACAGGTGAAAAGATACAATTATCGTAATTCGCTAGACTTCCTAAAGAGGATTTCCACGTGATTAAAATTCCGAATGCTATCAATTGAAAACGAACAAAATGGCGCCACTTTCTTTAGTGATAAGATGCTTCTGCTTATTCTGCTGAAATCACTAGAGACCAGTATATAAGGAAAGAGCACATGTGGATTACCTCATTTTGCAGATTGACCTGCCTGTTCCAACCAGAAGATAAATTGGCCACCAGATCCGTATAATCAAATTCTTGCCAATTACTTGAAAAATCAACATCACTATCATCTGATGAATCCTCCATCATACTTTGAACTTGCTGATTTATAGCTATATTGTTGAATGAAAACAAATTCCCAAGTGCCTCGTCAGTGCCTGGGTTAACATATGTTTCTTCATCAATATCAGTCAACAGTTCTCCAGTATCAGGACAGCTGATTGGCAGTCCAACATCAGGTTGGTCCTCCAAATTTCCACTTGAAGATGCTGAAGGAGAGGCAGTATCATTGCAGCATAGCCACTTCTGAAACCGAAGTTCTACCAAAGAAGAGAGTTTAGAAAGTGCTGCAATAGTTGTCCAGAGATTTGCAACTCTTGTATCGCACATTGAGAGACAAATTAGATTGGGCATGCAAGTAAAACAGTTCTCCTGGAAGCTTGTTAGTGAAGTACTAAAATCAAGGTTGAGGGTACGTATTTGCATGAATTTCCCTGCCATGTTCAGCTTCCGGAAATGAGAAGATCTCAAGTTCAAAATTTGGCATGCCAAACCTCTCCGAGAAAGCTCCCTAAGTACGAAACTGAAGTTAGTAACAAAAAATAAATCATATCCAGAAAACAATTGTGAAATTCCCTGCGCGTTTAAGCAGCTGAATTCAGAATTCTAGACAATTCTAACAAAAGATTGCGTGGTCAGATTTCGAAATGATGGTGGGGTTTAAGGAAGGATCTGTTCTTATCTAGGCCTTCCTCAACTTCTGGCTACTTTGGAAGCGGAAGAACCTTCAGCAGCTACAGACTTTGCATTTCTGGTATGCAGGGATTTTTTTTTTCTTTTTTTCGGAAAATAAGGAGATATTAGAGTTTTTTATTCGTAATATCTGATGTGGCTTTTCTGACCGTTGCAAACAGATTGCATCCCTTCAGTGCTTCGTCATAGAACTACTTTTTACTCATCATAAACATAATACAAGTAACAAAAATAAGCACAACTATATACCGCAAGAAGTCCTTTCCAAATGATGAATCTTGAAGATCAACTACTCGAAGCTTTTGATTGAAACCACGCATCAAAGATAAAGCACATTCTCCATTCAAAGAGCATGATGGTCCATTGCGTATGTCAACTGCTTCAATCTCAGAAGTTTCAATGGTTGCACATACATCAAGAACCGGAGGAACATCAATATCTTTAAGATGGTCCAAGATGATCTCCAGGGTACATATCTCATTGCAAGACTTTTTAACCTCAGCCTGAACAGTAAAGCAATGATCAGGTTCAGCTTCTTGTTTCCATCAATAACTAAACCAATCCCTAGCTTAACGCAAATGACATTTACTAAATCAAACATAACAAACTTAACACATATCAGTTATTATTATTTTATTCACAACAAAGCACAGGTAGAATGCGACTCTAACCTACACCGACCTTAAAGAAACCAGATAAAATTTCTGTATTAGGTAGAACATCATGTCTCTCGCAAGAATCAATGTACCTAAAACCAGAATCAACATAAAAAGAAATCAGAGTAAATCAAGTATTTACATTTATAGGCATGAAAATAACAACGACTGCTTCAATAAGCCATGAGGTGTTATCAATGACTACGCGTTTTCAGCATCCTTTTCCTTTTTCAGTGCAACCTTTCTCAAAATTTCCACATAACCCCACATGAAAATATTACCAAATTTCAATTCTTTGACCACCAATCCTTTACCTCTCACTCTAAAACTTACAAAATTCAAAGAAGAAACAAAAGGGCATTAAAAACTGAATTCTCCAATTCAACTAAAAACAAAGGCCTCATATGTAATCTCCCTCAATTCAGTTCAAAAGAAACAAAAAGTAAAATTTCATAACTGAACTATTTATATAATCAAATGGGCCTCAAATAATTTTCATGTTAACATAGAATTCAACGTCTAAGAAAAGAAAAGGCAATCAAATTGTAAAAACAAAAAGAAAAGTTAAGGAACTTACATTTGTTCGAGGGTTGAGATATTAAAGGATGGGATATCAGTGGCCATGATTTAGATTCGGAGTCTCCGATTATCAGCAAAAGATAAGTAACTCTGTGGTAACAGAGGTGATGATGTTTCTTTATCGCTTTACCACAGCTCTTCAATTATGCATTAAGCAAGAAGACACATACGTGCGTCTGTGTAGGTTGAAGAGAGGAGCTGCCTATGTTCAGCCAGAAACAATAAAGGGGAAGTCGGCATTTGGGATTCATATAACCAGCTTTCTGATTTTACTGTGAGCCAGTTTATTCGCAAAGCCAAAAGAAGTGAAAAAAATAAAATAAAGAAGATAGGTTTATTGAATATTTATTTCGGTCATGGCCTTTTGTTTTTAGGTAAGTTAGAATACTATATATATTTGATTCGTAATTGTAATAGATTGGATTGGATCAGATTTTTATCTTTTACATCATGCTTGGATCTAGCAGTGGAATACTAATAGAGCGGGTTGGATCCGATTTTTATTTTATATATCTTTTTTATTCATTTTAAATTGTTTAAATTGAATGATATGTATAATCTAAGTTAGGTTTAAGTACGACTTACTTTGAGATGGATTAGATGTTTCTTATTTTCAGTAACATTTTTTTTTTTTGTACCTATATGGGTGTATCAATAGAGATTATTATATAATCGATTAATTATAACAATTTAGGGACTTTTAAAAAAAATAATAAGATTATGTAATTAGTTAGGTCGGTATAGATTAATAATCCAAAAAGATGTGATCCTTTAAATTTTTTTAAAATAATCCAATAATAATTACTAATAGTTATTTCATACGAGAAATAGAGATAAAGAATAGAGAAAAATAAAAAAAAGATTTTTAAAAATATATTTTTGAGTGTGAACAGTGATATTATTATTGTTTGTAATAAGTATGAATATAATTTTTTTAATATTTACATTTATTTATTTTTTTCAAAATAAATTTAAAAAATAACTATTGACGGTTATTATTTGAGTGTTTTATGATTTTTTGTATTAAGAATGCTCTATATATAATTTCTCCTAATTACGTCTTTTGTCAAACAAAATAAAAATTAATTTTTTTGGTTTGCATGGATCAGGATCAAAATACATCGATATTGCAACAAATTAATATTTTTATATTTTTAATGCTGTATTGAGGTTCAAACCCTAATAGTTAATATATATATATATATATATATATATATATATATATATATGATGTTTCTTTAACCATGTTGTTAGAATACAGCAATATGCATTAATTATCATACCTAGTATATATGGTATTGATGCAGCAAACATCACCCATCTCATCGGGTTGTAAACTAATAAATTCTCTTTTCGTATAATTGGTAGATGCATCAACATTTTTTATTATTTAATCGTTGAGTAATATTAATGGTTTTGCATAGTTTATTTATTGAAAAATATCAATATTTGTATTTATGAGAATTACCTATGAAATGTACTTATTTTATACATGAGATACTTATCAAATAATTAATATTTTTTTACGAAATATATTTTCTAAAATAATTTTCTTGATTAGCATTACTACTAATTTTTGGTAGGTGATCTTCAAAAAAATAAATAAGTCGTGACGGTGGGTGCAACATGTGTTGATTTAATCAAAGTTTTGGAGGGGGTTGGTGGATGAATCAAACTCTCTCGCACAAAAGAAAAGTGTTGGTAAGCAAATAATGCTTAAGACGTATAAATATAATTAATGGATTTTTTGAACACGTACTTGTGAGGTCTGACAAAATAACGATCTGGTCAATATATCCTTTTCTTGGAATCCTGATGTCAAAGTTTATAATAAATATAAGCACCCTAACGACACGATTGAGAATTTGAGATGCCATATTATTGTTTGCTTGCAATTATATGATAAGCCCATATAGTCTTCAAGTTTTCTTTCAATCATGATCAATGCCTGTGCACATCCTTACACTTTTGTTTTTCTGGTTACAAGGTCCATTTACTAGTTTTGTATGAATCGTAACCTTGTACGTTGTATTGCTTGTCTTCGTTATGCCCTTTCGTCAAGTTCATTGAGAGATTAAGTGGACCTGATTGAGAAATTCGTGATTATAGAAAAAATGGAAAAAATGAAAAGTAAAAAAAAATATCAAAAAGTAACAAGGACCAAAAATAAATAATTAGAAAAATCGAAGATAACAATTCATTAAAAGAATCCTTCATCTGCAATGATCCACCCACCTCCTCGATCCTTCACTCTGGCCCATTACCTTTTTTTACGGGGCCACCTTTTTCCTTAACGGAACCATGCTGCTAAGAAGCTTTGAACTACGAGCCCATAAAATGCAAAAGAACCCACTAGCATGGATCCGTTTGATCCAAAACATCGATGTCCATCTGACTACGTGTGAAACTTGTACCAAAAGAGCACTGGGCTCAACCTCTTCATCCTTTGGGAGCTTTATCTTCTGGTTCAGTGCTCATCAGTGCTCCTCGAAGAGGAACTGAAGCCCATTTGACAAGCATCCTTTGTTTCTTTATACTGTAACCCTTTATTTAGTGAGCAGATAGATATGTCAAAAATATCTGTCGGTTGGTGCTTTGTTCTTTAATTTTGGGGAAAAAAATAAAATAAAGTTAATGAGCTGATTTTGAATATTGATTTTTTTAAAAAAAAGAAAATTATTGAAAATGTTGATAAAAATAAAGAGCACAAAATGCGAATTTTTTATTTCACTTATGTGTTTGTGTTTATTAAAATCACCGCAAACTCTTATTTCGTTTGAAAAAAAAGATTTTTTTGATGACGTAAAACCTAGTCCGATAAAAACATTAACGTTTAATAAAAACATTATGATTCTTTTCAAATAATATTAGTCGCCTGGAATAATCTACTTATATTACAAGATAAGATAATGAATATATAACACATACATATATCTAGAGAAGCAAATAGCTAAAAATTATTAAGGGACTAAAACCATAACAAAGCATTGATTTAGTCTAAAAACAGTGTAAAAATTGAAAGTATAAGATTCGAAACAAAAATTAAAAAAAATAAAATGATATTTATATTTTTACATTGTTTTTAGAATAATAGTAAAAAATCTCAATGAATTCAGAATTTTTTAATATTTAATTTTTAATATAAATAAAAATAATGATTACAAAAGTTTTTCAATTATGATGATAATAAAATTGATAGAAGTTATTATAGTAGTGATGGAGTACAAAAAGAACGTCAAAGAGATGATAGTAAAAGTGATAATATATTTTTAAAAAATCAATACCACTGCTAAAGAGGTGTTAGTAGAAAAAGAGTAGTGATGGTAGTAGTGTTATAATAAAAATGATGGTAATGAAGGAGAAATAATAATGATAGAATAATAATAATAATAATTTTATCATTGTTGTAAATGATGATAATTGTGGTCGAGAAGGAATGATGACAGAATAATACAAATAATAATGGTTTTTTCAATTTTTTTTAATTAAAAAAGTGATCATGAAAGTGATAGAAATAGTTAATGCACAATGGTAAATAAAAATATAATTATCTTGAAGAAAAAATTTATTTTTTCCCCACTTTTTCTTTGAAAAATAATTTTTCTTTCCTTATCCATACTTTATTTGTTCGAACTATAAAGTGAAAACAAAATTTCATTCGTGCTAATTAAATCAACAACACTTAAAAAATAATGCATAATTATATATGGAGAAATTTTACAATACTTAATGAGTAACTAATTATATATATAATGGTTATTTCATAAAATCACTTCATAAAGAGAGATAGATAAAAAAAAAAAACACGCACACTTAAGAGAACCTGATATGTGTGCGATCAAAAATTAATGATCAAGGCCGTCCGGATTAAGACTAGGATAAATACCCTATCACGAGCATCAAAGAAAGTGACATGGGGGACCGGACGTCAAATAAAGGGCCACCCATAAGGAGCTCAATCTTAAATTCTTAATCCTACAATGACAGTTTCTAACTAGTTTTAAAAGAGAGTCTAATTGCATGGTCATCTCTTTCATCCAACTAACCCTTTTCACCTCAATCACCATAAATAGAATCTTCTTCTGTGGTCACTTTTTAGTTTTTACCTCATCTATTCCGCATACCTTTGTGAATGGACCAGGTTAGTCCGGTCCAAACAAAGCCTCGTTAGTTTCGTGTTTTCTAAAGTATAGATTTCTTTTTACTCTACCAAGAGTGGTTTGCTTGGAATCAGCTTGTATATTAATTTAACTAATTTTTTTCGAACAGCATAAAAACTATATTTTTGGTATTTATCCGATACATTTTGAAAAATGTAAAGCTCCTTAATCATCGGTCAAATATATAAATCAATAAACATATACACTACGATATATTAAAAAAAAAAAAAAGTTATCATCAATGCTAAAAGTTTTGTATTTAATAATGTGTTTGCAGTTTTTTTTACCAATTTTTTTGGCAATTTAAAAAAATATATATTCAATTGATATTTTTTTAAAACTTCACAGGTTGATTATACAAATTTGGACAGGCTTATCGCTCTTAATTACAAGTCTCTTTTCACCTAGTGTTTGACACAGCCCTACCGTAAGTGGATGAAGATGGCCATCTGCGCCCTTTTTTCATGTAGGCTTTTCTTCAAGAGAAAAGTTATAAAGTGCACGGCTCATTATATCAGAGATCATGACCAGACCTTTTTTTTTTTTTCCTTTTCCATGAAGGTGCATGCCCATCTCTTCATCCATTTGGAATTTTAACTATATTAGCGGGGCACGTGCTTGGAAGCGTAAATAGGAAGGCTGTTGTTGGTGGGTTTGGGACCCAGAGAAGGCCATGCTTTACACCCTTTGATTTCTAAATTATTATGCTAGAGCAATGAGAAACACATTACAGAGAGACATTCAAACCTTGATGTTTCTTTATCAGCCCAGAAAAATAAACATTGGAGCAACAAATGGGATTTTCCTTTTTTATTTTTTTTATAGTTGAATGGCCATCGAAATTCTCTTATATCTTCCTAAAAAAAAATTACTGTTATATTCATTAAATCTAAATTATTGAACTTAAATTTAATAGTTACAATTTAGTACATAATAGAAATGAAAACAATTTAACTCTTTAATATTTTATTTCTCTTATTTAATTTTATTACTATATTCAAAACAAATGGTAAAATTTAAATCATAACTGCTTGTATACGTTTTCATAAGAATAGAAAAGGATTCAAATCCAGTCGAAAAAAATCATCATCGTAAAAAATGAAATTCAAATATAATTAATTAAAACATGAAAAGGTCATTATTGATCACAAATCCTACATTAAGTTTATTCAAGCCCCCAAATCGAGTATGCATAAATTTCCACTTCAGCTGCGCATCTAATAAAAGCTGGTCTATCGAGCTCATTTTCAGATTGACCCATACATGGAAACGTGGAAACAGTTCCCTTACCTGCTAAAAAGGTGCACATAAATGCATGCCAGATTTCTGGATGCTCACATTATACTTTGCAAGCTGCAAGCAGGTGGTCTATGCAAAATCATGTCTACTAAAGTATACTGAATTCTAAAATACTGGCCAGACCTTTTTTAGAATGAAAAAAGGTTGTAGAATAAAGATCAACTACTAATGTTATGTACTGAAAAGAAAAGAGTAAAAGAAATCCAGAACGGATGCCTTTGTCTATAAGCAACAACAATTCTGTCTACTGCTCACTGCCTGTTATAAATTGGAAACGGCCCACTACACCAATTATTATTCCGTTAATAAATATGATATCCCACGTGACATAGATTGATCGAACAGTGGTACTATGCTTGGGTGGATTTTAGCAACCTGTTCCAAGATATTCTTGCATGAATGATGGGACTCACTGGGACAAGCTAGAATTCCAAGATCAAGAACATAAATACTTGAGAGAGCAATTAGAATCCAAAAGTATATCTGAGTTATCAACCACATGAGATGCCAACACACTTACAAAACACAATCCTATCGTGGAGATTTTGTATGTAAGATGTATCAATGCGGGCTTTGAAACAATATCTTGTAAAACAAGCTAAGTGCACATGTCATTGCATGGTGTTTTCAGCTCCAGTGAAGAAAAGTGAATGCCAGTTCAAAAAGGCAAAAAAAAGAAGAGAAAAATAGTCAAGAAAAGTGAACGATTATCACATATTAAACCTTAGATATATTATTTAGTTTTTTATTACACCACAAAACAATATTCTAACAACTCTACAGAAGCTATTTCAAAAGTGTGGATTAAAGAGTTGTTTTTGCATTTAATGTGGATCATCAACAAGGGCAAGGCTTCCCCCGTTCTGCCACCTAATTATCTTGCAATCTATGTACATTTTCTCGCGGTATACATATATAAAAGTTGTTCAAATGACATTTCTGATCAGATGAATCCTGGTAGGTACTATTAATTTTAAATTTTGGAATTTCCAAAACTCAAGCAATAGGAGTTGGATGGGAATTAATTTGAAGATTTGGAGAGGACTTCTTTTGTTATATAACCTAGAGCTCATTTGCCTCTCATCGAACAAAAACAAGATTTTACTATTTTTTTCCTACACAGCCTCACCAAAACCAATGACTTCACCCAATCTCCTCCCTCATAACTTGCTAATTTAGAGCTCCGTGCTATTCTTGGACTGCACTAGTCATAATCCAAGATCCCAACTTAATTGTGTAAATTTTTTTATAAAAAAAATCATAGTAAACTTTTTTATATATAAACCGAGGTTCATTAATGAAAATTCATAAAAATAGAAAGAAATAGCAAAAAAAATATATTAAATCCATTATTCAACAAAATAAGAATTCAATAAAAAGTTATATGCCAAAGCATTTTTATCTTGAAAAAAAAATACAATTTTCAAACATGATAGATGATCAAGCCAACTTAATTCTATAAAGTCGTATCTTTTTAATTAAATGCATGAATTTCAATTGTCCTGTTAACATCATCAACTCAACATGCACTCTTCCCTTTTCTTTGTTAGTGGACAATGAATGCCACATATATCCTGGACAATTATAGATAAATGATTTGGGAATGTTCAGTAATGAATTTAAAGTTACATATATGGTTGATACAGCTCCTATGATTCTAAATATAAGCACATTTTCATCTATGGTAGGCCATGTTTGTGCATGTGTAGTCAATCCAAGCCTGAGTTGGGCATCTCCCAATCCGGAAGCTAGCCGAAAACTGAACCCCACAAAACGAAAGGTAATTCTGCCATAAATTACAATTGAATCGTGGGCATCAGAGTACATAATAATAAATTTTGTGATACATACTGTAGATCAAATTATCAGAAAGTTTAGTATTATGGAGTATATTGTATTTTCCACCCTCCATGAATGTTTTGGTGGGCCTTGTGACTAGCTACCTACTTCACTCTATCACTGTGAACAATTGGAAGTAGAAAGCACCCTTTTTGAGTCGGGAGTCAAATGGTTCCAAGCAAAAGAGAGGTGGGGTTGGAAAAACAAAAAGGGTCAAGTGGGACTTACAAAAAAATAAATAAAGCGTACATATTCTAGGATTGACGTTTAGGATCATACCGTACGATCATATTGCAAAACTGGGTTTTAATTATGAAAAATATTACGATAGTGCATCTATAAACTTAAACACCGGTGACCAATCCTCAATCCTCACGAGAATGGAGCTGTACTAGAGCAATACTGCAGCCGTTTTTTTATTTAAACTAGTTTGGTTCTGATCCTACACTTCGTGTTTTCTGTTGTTTTTTTTAAAAAAAGGCCAAACTCACAAAAGAAGAGAAAATAGTAGACTAATAGCAGAAATGAGGTGGAACATGCACCTATTGGTTTTTGAAATGGGCAACTATAGCAATGGCCAATATACAAAGTATGGTCCAACGAAACTATGAGCATGGTACCATGATCTCCAACACCCTCATTGGCTGACAATTTATTGGTATTTCATAAAGAAACTTCTAGAACATGATATGCCTTTTCTGTCTAGGCAAATTAGATTGCACATGTTCCTCTTACGTAAGATTGGATAGACCATCCTTAAAGTGCAAAAACTGAGCATCTTAAGCAAAGAACCATCTTTCTAATAGGAAAGATGAGCCAAACCCTTTGTTTTTTTGGTTCTTGCAGATGAGGATTGGGCTCCTAGTGGGAGGATTTTCTTAACTTGTATGCAACCTCAGAGAAGGAAGTAAAGTTAACAAACGCGTTTCTTTGGGCCCTCTAACGCGGGAACTTTTAGCATTTTCACATGGCTAATTGTCTCATTCTGTTAATCATGTGTTGAATTTTTCTGATTTAGGACAGCACCCACTGTCTGTGTCCCGATCCAAATCACATTTCTGTGAACTTCCTGTAGGCGCTATGTCAAAACTCAAGTGAAGCCTACCATCTAGAGCCAAAAGTTGTCTAAACTGATACATTCCTACATGTTAACCTCAAGAATCCACTAATTTCCAAAAGGAGAGACCAGAATTTTATTTAAAATCAGAAAACTAATAATAATAATATCAGTGCACAACTTGTAATTGTAGGACATGAAATGAATATTTAGCAAGTCACCAGGTTCAAATTTCAAACGGAGCATAAATTAAGCACTAAAAAGCTAACTGTTAAGGGTTGCTTGAAATAGAGCGAACGTACGTTTGAAAATCTGATGAATCACATCAGCCCCCTAATAAATAGACAATTCTACTCTTATATCAAACATAGTACAATAGCATTATAAGTCACCGTAGGCAGTAAACAATAATTAGATAGCCGGGCAATCATGGCTCAATCCAAATGTTGATCACCATGGCAAACTGACACACATGCTCTACTAGACTAGGAAGCAAGTCTCCTTGTTACCCAAAACAAGATTCTGATTCAATCTGAATCTGATGAGTTATGGCTCTCGCTTTGCCGCACACTCCTCCTGGTTTGTGCGCTGGATTTTGATGAATTTAAAGATGATTCACCCTCATAGAAGATTACTTGAGCTTTAGCCAATCTCTCCTCCAAATCCTCTGTGTTAAACTCATCTGTCCCTCCAAGCTCATCAAATCCCACCTGGACACAATTAAAACAGGGCAGTCTAATTTTAAGAACAGCAGGAGGAGTGAGTTTAGTCAACAACACATGGCCACATACAAATTACATACCACATAATCATCCACTTTGGCATTCTTTATAAGTGCAAGAGTTGGAAGAACAAGAATCTTGAGTTTCTCAGCCAAAAATGGACTTTTCTCAGCATGAATCTTCACAAAACGTGTCTCTATATGTTGCTTCGCCAGTATACTCATGTGCTTGTCCATCACCTGCAAATGAACAGTAAACATAAAATCTTCTCCAAACTCTCCCATTTTCCCAATTAATCTAAACGCAATACTAATATCATTTTCTCAAACACAACATGGTTCATCACATACTGATTAGCTAGAAAGTAATAGTTGTTTACCGTAATTATCTTTCCAATGTTGGCAGGATCAAGCAATCAAGCAATGTTATTATATTGCTATTTAAGCTTCCATGTGACTCAACCTGTAGAAAATAAAAGAACTGCATAAGTACATAGAAAGCACCACAGATAGTAGTTTTGCCATCCAGCAACCTCTAACTGTAATCAAGGACAATCCTATTTATAAAACTGCCCTTCGATCAACACGAAAAGTAAAACTTGGCGCTAGCTTTCTCATAGAAAATCCAATTTCTTTCATGAAAACACAGATTTCAGGTACTACCCTACTAAGCTAGATTCATGAGTAAGACTCAATCCACAATTTCTTATTAAAAAGAAAAAAACTCCATCAACAATTTTAGGCAGATTTCTACAAACAATAATAAATAAGGTTGTCACATATATGCGAATTTGTCATAAGAATTCTAGTTCTAGAATGTTTGATTTTTGCAACGTTAGCCTTGTTTCTTACTAATAATCTAATCCAAGATGATAACTCTCTTAGATGAATGCTCTTGACTCTTACTAATTTAGTCTATCGATTAAAGAATACCACTAGTTGTTTGACAGAGAATAACGAAGAAAAAATCATGGAAATTTAATATTGATTTGACACATCCATTGTCTTCCACCAAAGTTTAACAATGTTCACATCTCACTTTTAGTTGAAGCTCCTTCTATTATCTGTAGCTACAAAAATGACTTGATCTGTCTTTGATTCAAGGTGTTCACACCACAAAACTCATTTTCTGCTTCCCTCTCCTTTTCATTCCTAACAAGAACAGCTTTTAATCAGTTCCCAATTGTCTTCCATGCATGAAAAGTATTCCTCAAAAAATGTAAAAAAAAATTTTAAAAAAATTCTTTAATCAAATAAATGAAATTGTAAGAAAAACCTTGCAAGGCCAATTATCGCGATAGAAATGGCAAACGACACGATCACTAGCTTTAACAACAGAGAAGAAATCCTTCTCTGATGGAATTTCAGTGTACTCGCCATGACCTAAAGAGATCCAACGGCTGCGCTTCTCCGCCATTTTCTTCATCAGCTGTAACCGTCTCTCCCTCAATGCCTCTATATCTTCGAGATCGAGACGATCTAATGCTGCGATCTCATCATCAATCTTGTCTTCCACTGCCTTGGCTACAGTAAGTACTTGCTTCTCTATAATCTCTTGAACGTTAGGGTTTGCCATTTTTTCCCCCTAAATTAAAGAACAAAGCACCGATAGTTGCATCCCCAACCGACAGATATTCAGGGTTACAGTATAAAGAAACGAGGATGCTTGTCAGATGGGCTTCAATTCCTCTTCATGTAGCACTGATGGGCACTGGACAAGAAGATAAAGTTCCCAAAAGATTAAGTTGGATTAGAATTGGTTTTGAGGTTCGTGGTGAGTTAATGGAAGTTGAAGGGACGATTTTGAGTTGTTTTCGGGAGAAAATGATGCAAAGGACGGCTTTGGACTCGTTTTGCAGGCGACCAAAGAATCGCCGGAGTAGACATAGACAGCAGTCGTCTGCCTGTCTTTCTTATGTTTTCTTTTTACTTATTTTTAATTTGGGCCAGAAGCTCCTGGTCCCAAGGGGTCTAGGCCCAATCACGCTGGTTTAGCACGCCTAGCCCAGATCGGCTGTATTTTTGTACTTGATTTTTTTTTTTTAATAAAAAACTGTTCAAAAATCGTCGATGTACAGCTTAACTCAATAATCAGGTTCACCTTCTTGTTTCCAACGATATCCCTAGCTTGAAGCAAATAACATTTACTAAATCAAACATAACAAACTTAACACATATCAGTTATTATTATTTTATTCACAACAAAGTACAGGTATAATGCAACTCTAACATAAACCGACCCTAAAGAAATCAGACAAAATTTCTATATTGAATAGAACATCATGTTTTTCGCAAGAATCAATGTACCTAAAATAAGAGAAGGATTTTTAAAAATATATTTTTGAATGTAAATAAAGATATTATTTTTTTAAATAAATTTGAATGTATTTTTTTTCATATTTATATTTGTTTATTTTTTTCAAAATAGATTTAAAAAATAACTATTGATGGTTATTGTTTGAGTGTTTTATAATTTTAAAATTAAGAGCGCTCTATGGCCTCTCCCGGATACATCTCTTGTCAAATCAAATAAAAATTATTATTATTTTTTTTTTGGTTTGTATGGACCAGGATTGAATTGCATCGAATTACAACAAATTAGTATTCTTATATATTTAATGTTGTATTAAGGTTCAAACCCCGATAGTTAAAAAAAAAATGGTATTTCTTTGTCCATGTTGTTGGACATACTCCCATGTTTTTAGAATACAACAATATGCATTAATTATAATACTTAGGTGATGTTTGGTAATTAAGCATAGAGTGATGAGAATAAAAATGCAAGAATCGAATGAAAATTAAGGAATCGGAATGGTGTTTGTATTTTCATATTGTGTTTGGAATACTAATGAAAAATCAAAATGCAATTTAAATTTTTTAATATCTAATTTTTTATACGGACAAAAATAATGATTAAAAAAATGTTTTTATAAAACTATAATGATTGTAAAAATAATAAAAGTAACGATGGTGACGGTGGTGGTTCTAATGGTGATGGTGGTGCCGACGGCGGTAGCAATAATAGTTGTTGTGATGGTTACGGTGGTGGTGGTTGTGGTTGCAATGGTGGTGGTGATAGTAGTTGTGACGGTTGTGGTAAAAGTAGTTAATAGATAATAAATAAATAAAATTTATTATTATTTTGAAAAAAAATCTATTATCATTCTTTATTTTTATTCCCTCGTCTTATATGAGAATGAAGTGTGTGTAAATTTTCATTTTTATTTCCACTTCATTCATTTTAACCAAATAGCTATAATGTGAGAATAAAACTTTCATTCTCATTCCCGCCACTCTATTCGTGATAACCAAACAACACCTTAGTATATATGGTGTTATTGGAACAAACATCGCCCATCTCATCGGTTTGTAAACCAATAAATTCTTCGTTCACATACTTGGTAGGTATATCAACATATGTTGTTATTTATTTTTTTGAGTAATATTAATAGTTTTACATAATTTATTCATTGAAAAATATCAATTTTTATTCTCTCATCTTATATGGGAACGAAGTTGTGTGTAAATTTTCATTTTCATTCTCACTTCATTCTTTTTTAACCAAATAGCTATAATATGGGAATAAAAATTTCATTATCATTTCCATCACTCTATTCATGATCACTAAACAACACTTTAGTATATATGATATTATTGGAACAAACATCGCCTATCTCATCAATTTGTAAACCAATAAATTTTCCGTTCACATATTTGGTAGGTATATCAATATTTGTTATTGTTTAATTTTTGAGTAATATCAATGGTTTTACATAATTTATTTATTGAAAAACATCAATTTTTGTATTTATGAGAATTACCAATGAAATGTACTTATTTTATGCGTGAGATACTCATCAAATGATTAATATTTTTTTACGAAATATATTTTGTAAGATAATTTTTTGATTAGCATTACTCCTAATTTTTGGCATGTGATCTTAAAAAATAAAAAATAAATAAGTCGTGACGGTGGGTGCAATATGTGTTGAATTAATCAGTTTTGGAGGGTTTGGCGGATGAATCAAACTCTCTCGCATAAAAGGAGAGTGTTGGTGGGTAACAAGTAATAAATAATGCTTAAGACGTATAATTAACGGATTTTTTGAACACGTACTTGCGAGGTCTGACAAAATAATGACATGGTCAATCTATCCTTTTCTTGGAATCCTGATGTCAAAGTTTATTATAAACATAAGCACCCTAAGACTCGATTGAGAATTTGAGATGCCATATTATTGTCTGCTTACGATTATATGATAAGCGCATAGTCTTCAAGCTTTCATCATCTCAGGATCAATGCCGGTGCACATCCTTATACTTTTGTTTTTATGCTGACAAGGTCCATCTA